CTAACTTTATGTGACTGGTGTGGCTAGGTCACGTGTACCCACTTACAATTTTTTTTTTTTTTTTTTTTTTTTTATGGGGGTAGCCTACCTGGGCACAGGTCATCGACCCACAACAGGCCCTAGTGGACAAAAAAATAAGAATAGTAAGGAATTAAAAATAAAATATGAAAAGGTTATATTAATCTACACCACGAAGATGCCGGAAAATCAGCTTTTTAAAGTGAGACGGATTGTATGAGTGTAGAAGCACAGAAGAAGGCAGAGCATTCCACAGTTTGGCTGTGTGAGGAAAGAAGGATGTACTATAATGGGTTATTCTAGTGTGACTGACAGCCACGACTGACAGCCACAGAAGAACTGTGGGCACCGCGGGCAAGACATGTGTTATGAGCCCACGGCTTTGCTGGTGGTACACAGGGTGCCAAAACCACAGAACATTGCCCGTTAAAGTACCTGTAAAAGAGAGAGAGTGAAGCAACATTACAGCGAAAAGAAAGGGAAGAAAGAGTTTCAACTAAAGGAGGAGAGTTAATAAATGAAATGCCATTGATTCCACCCTATCTAACAGTTGGATAGAGGAAGAGCCACCCCAGATATGAGAGTAGCACTCCAATTTAGGATGAATGAATCCCTTATATACTTGAAGCAACTGCTCAGCAGTGAAGTAGCTATGGCATCTGTACAGCAATCCCAGCTTTCGGGAGGCAACTCTAGCAATATTGAGGATGTGTGGCTTCCATGACATATTAGAGGAAATGGTGAGGCCTAGTATATCTATTTTAAGATTTGGCAGAATGGTTCTATTTTCCCATTTGGAGATGCTGCATAGATCCGCATTGATAGATGTAATGATATCAGCTCTAGAAACAGATCTAGTTTGAGAGTTAGGGGGAATGGGAAAATGTGAAGAAGAGTGAAGAGTAGAATTATCAGCATAAGAATGAATAGAATTAGTTGTAGTGTGAAGCAAATCATTGATAAAAAGAAGGAAGAGAGTAGGTGAAAGATCAGAACCCTGTGAGACACCACTATTGGTAGAGAAAGAGCGAGAGATCGATCCCTCAACAACAACTGCCATGGATCGGTTCTCAAGGAAGCTAGAGATTAGAGAACAAAGTGAGGGAGAGAAACCATAAAAGGGAAGTTTAGTAAGCAAAGACTTGTGCCATACCCTGTCAAATGCTTTGGAGATGTCGAGGGCCACGACAAAAGTTTCCCCATAATCCCTAAGAGAGGATGACTAAAGATGGGTGCAGTAGGAGAGCAGATCACCAGTAAATCTCGCCTGGCAAAAGCCATACTGGTGATCCGACAAAAGAATACAGTATAGTCTGCATTTACGCGGTTTTTGTTTACGCGTTTGGTCATTTACGCGGCACCTTGCCAGAATGAAATGTTTTAATTACGCGGTAAATTTCATCATTTACGCGGGAAGCGGTGCGGGCAGGGTGCGCACAAGGTCGCCCAGTCAACAAAACATTACCGAGTTCTTCACCCGCCACCCATCACAGCCAGCCCAAGTCAGTGATAGTGATAGTGAGGATATGGACTTTGAGGGGTTTGACAAAGAGGCCCTGCTAGCCTCTGTGGTGGATAGTGATACAGGTGATACAAGTGATACAGGTGAGGGCCAATAATTTGCCCACTGCCTCAGAATCAACCCCAATCCCCGTGTACCCAGCCATCTCTTCTACTAAGTAAGTGTTAAAAAACCTAATATTATTGATATTTCTCTTAAATATTAATTGTGTGTGCATACCATCATAAAATTAAGATGTTATTTTTACTACAACATACTGTAACGTATTGTGTCTGGGTGAAGTATAATTTGTTTATTTACTGAAGATATTTGTTTTTAGCTCATAAAATTAATAGAAATTACCCGGCCAGAATATAATTTACATTGCTGGAATTCTTATAAGATGGTGATGAATTTAAATATAAACATCCTAAAATTTGCATTAGACATACAAATTTTAGAGCTAATTTAAGAATTTTATTAGAGAGCAAAAATTTTATCTTTTGTGCAAAATATATGACGTTTATATTCAAATTATTCACAGTCTTGCAAGGAATCCAGCAATGTCAATTATATTATCCTAACCATAGTGTGAGGTATTATTTATTACTAAACCTAAAAACCTAGTGTTTTCACCCAAACATTTCTCAGAGAGGGAGGAGCCAGCGAGCGTGGGAAGGGAGGGGGGGTGAGTTGAGTCCATTATTTGAATGGACATTAACCGGCGACTGTATTTCTCTTAAATATTAATTGTGTGTGCATACCATCATAAAATTAAGATGTTATTTTTACTACAACATACGTATTGTGTCGGAAAAAGTGTAGTTTGGGGGTCGGCCCAGTCTCTATTTCAATTAATCCCATATGTTCTGTTATTTCGTTTGCGCGTTTCTCGTTTTTCGCGGACCTCCACGGGTTCAATTGACCGCGTAAATGAAGACTATACTGTATGGCGTTCTAGGTGACGGAGAAAATGGGAGTTCAAGATAGTTTAAAAAATCTTAGAGAGAAATGAAGTTAGGGCAGTGGGGCGATAGTTAGAGGGATTCGAATGGTCACCCATCTTTGGGATTAGTTGAACCAAGGCATGCTTCCAAGAAGAAAGAAAAGTTTGGGTTTTGAGGCAAAGTCGAAAGTGGCGAGCAAGCACAGGGGCCAGTACTTCAGCACACTCCCTCAGAACACGAGGGGGCATTCCGTCTTGTCCATGCGCCTTACTCACATCCAACTTGGATAACACACTTGCTTACAAATATTTATGGCACTTGATACAGCTCATAACTCTTTGTATTTATAATAAATACAAGCATATATTGTTTTCATGCTTGTATGTTTTAAAATCTCAAATTCAATGGTAACGTAAGTGCCGTTTATCCTGTACCCGTATAAACCAAGTAAATTTCTCGAACCACAGTCCGAGTGGCTGTCTGGTAAGTTGCCACATTTTTTATTTTACGTACTATATTTACCAAATAACTCGGTAAAATAGTGCAATTAAAATTAAAACTATACTGGATGATAAAAATGATATGTGCTTGACTAATGTTAATTTGCCTAGCCAATCTCTACAGGTATTGAACAATCTATTACATTAAAAGTGCTGTAGGTGACAGCAGCGCACGGAAGGTAAAGTGGCCAAACTCACAAAATTCAGGGACGAATCTTGGAACTACTGGATATATACAGTACTCCCTCTTTATCGACGGATTTTTTATAGACGGTTTCGATTATCGACGGATTATTTAGCCGGATTTTTATATTCTATTCATACTGTGCTTGATATACTACATTCACAGAAATGTAATATTTTTGCTGAAATGACGTACGTATTACAGTGGAAAGTGGGATAAAATCGTGACGAAAACAATGACTTGCGCTTTCTTTCGTTCAAAAGATGTTACCGTAATCACTTTTCGAATGGTTTAGTTAAAAAACTGTTGTATTGTATTACAATAATATCCTAATTGACTTGAATAAATATTACGATACCATATTTCTGAATATTTTCATTAAAATCCATCAAAATCATTTTCCTTGTCATCGTCTGCAGCACCAAACAGCTCCTCCCAGTCCTCTCCTTGAACAGGGCTAGAGGCTACGTGTTTTTCGAATCGTTTTCAGTTAAAAAATTATTACATCACACGTATATTTTACCTAAACTGCGCCTGAATGAATATATTCTCGGAAATAAATAGTAGTTTTGCTGAAACGTGATGTATTTCAATGTAAAATAGGATAAAATACATGTCGAAAACAAAAGACTTTACCTAAGCTTCCGATGTTCTTGAGATGTTACTCGTTTTTTTAATAGTTTTCAGTTAAAATTCTGTTATATTACAATGATATTCTATTCATACTGTGCTTGATATAATACATTCACGGAAATGTAATATTTTTGTTGAAATGACGTACGTATTAAAGTGGAAAGTGGGATAAAATCGTGACGAAAACAATGACTCGCTTTCTTTCGTTCAAAAGATGTTACCGTAATCACTTTTCGAATGGTTTAGTTAAAAAACTGTTGTATTACAATAATATTCCCTCCTAATTGACTTGAATAAATACTTGAATGGAAATACACAATATTTTTGTTGAAACTACCCGCGTTTCAGTGTAAAGTGTTGTAATAATAAATGGTAAACAATTTGCCTTGGGCATCTGGATTTTTGGACTTTTACTGTACTGTACACTGTTTTGTTTACTGTAAGGACCGATGTTCACTTCAATAAATGAAATCGTAAGTTTGCTAGTATTTTTGTCCACTTATTATATTATTATTTATACACTATTATTTAAGGTTATGTGTAAAGGAAACGCATTAATGCTTAAAGGTACATTTATTCAACATATGCTAATAATAGTTAGAAAAATTACGTAACCATCACGGTATCGACGGTTTCTTTATCGACGGCCGTTTACAGAATGTAACCCCCGTCGATAAAGAGATACTGTACAGGGTACTATATTGAGTTAAATAAATTATCATACATTTATTGTTTTGGTTCAACATGTTTAAAACTAAATTTAGTAGAGGGAATGTTATCAAAGAACATGACATAAAGAAAGTTTTACTGAAGCAAATCATACAATATGCATTAATCTTATGTAACTCGTGCCCTATAAAATCATCATACAATATGCAATAGTACACTACAAGGTGAATGCGAGTAGCCTAGATCCGCACATGACAATGGACAGTGAGACACTGAGCGCCGTAGCCTCACTCGTCGCTTCACCCATGCCCACCAATTCTTCTTTCGCCACGGCAGCGGGAAATTTGATGTGGTTAAATAGTAACATTGGTTTCAATTCATGAAACACAGTAAAGCCCTGGCTCAGATAAATGATCAGCAGTAAAATTATCGTCCACTGTATATATCGATGTAAGAAAAGGCTGTATATGGATTTGTTTTTACTAGTTTTGTTAACTTTTGTGCGAAAAGGGTGAGGAATGATTAATCTGAATGAATTTCATCTACAGGGAGGCTGTTGGAGATCTTTATATTCAGTTGAAGTCTCTGTCTCCTGCTGAGGCCACTACAAGTGAACCATCGGCCTTAAGTACTTACACACACATACCTTAGCGTTCGTCTTTATTCAAGATGTCTTGAATGAAGCGAAAAGCTAAGATGCTCCGTGTTTCCTTTCGGTGTGATTTTATCAAGATTTATCTTATCCACGTTTTCATTGGATCTACATGAAATATATATATATATGTATATTTCATGTAGATCCTAATGTAATCAACAAATAAAGACGAAAGCAGTTAATCCCCATCAAAATCTTGCCAGTGATGCCATGTGCTTGGATCTTAGAGGATAGTCGTATATGTGGGACTTTGTCAAACTCCTGGAGAAATCCATGTACAGTCGTGTCACATCTTATGCGCATTTAACTTACACACATTCAACTTTATGTGTTTGGCTTTGGAGAAAATAACAGTGAGTGTAAGAGCATATGGCTGGGGGAGATAATGTCATAAAAGGTGCACCTCTTGTAGCCATAGTTTTCTTAAAATAAACTGTCCAGTACCAGTAAATGTGAGCAATAAATAAAAGTAATACCAATAAGTAAGTTACAACAAAAAATACTGTACTGTATTGCCCAAACAGTAAATAAAAGTGAAATGAAAGTTTAAAAAAATTGTCATTTGCATTCACTACCTGCCTCACCATAGCAATACAGACCAAAAGGGCTGCAACCTCTGCCGACTCCCTTGCAACACTCCTCCTGCCCACACACTGTGCCCTCCTGCTCCCTTTGTATTTGCCCTTATGACAATTATTTCTTTTACAGTACATACTTCACTTTAACGACTAATTGGTACCATGAAAACGTTGTTAAAGTGAAAATCGTTAATGTGGTGAGTATAGTTTACATTCTAAATGGGTCAATTGGTACCAGCCCTCAGACACTTTCACCCCTATAAACCCCACAATAAATTACAACCACTTATTCACACACATTAGTACTGCATGTATAGTTAAAAACTAATAATAACTAACCTTTAGACACTCATTGAACTGCTTAATGAGAACTGTTTGCTGTCATCTGAGGCAGGGGAGTGGTGTTAGTGCCCCCCTGCCCCTACGCCCTCACACTGTGCTACTTCCCCAGCACCACCACCAACTGATCCTTCTGTCTCAAAGCCAATGAAGTCTAGTGGTAAATCATCTAACAGATCACACACAGGTAAATCTTGAACATTATCATCAACAGTGCAGTCATCTCCCTCTTGAATGTCGACTCTTGCTAAAACCGTAGCAGCAGCAGGAGGTTTTCAAGGGTATCTTGTGTTGAGGGTTTGTTGTTGTTGATTTTCTTTTGTGTTGTAGAGGTTTTTATAATTGTTTGTTTATTTAGTTAGCCATGGAAAGATGTTGTTCTGAGCCTCAGGTGTTTTGTCTTAGTCAGTGATAAGTTCGGTGAGGCCGGCTAGCTCAGTAACCACCACACTCAGCTGCTGCATGGAAGGTCCCCGTGGAACTTGTGCTGCTTCTTCCAGTTGTTCAGGTTGTTGTTCTTTTCTTCTAAAATTTCCTGGATGGTTGGTTCAGGCTGACGTTCATTAATCATTTCTTCGTCACCTGGCTGAATCTCAGCAAATCCTGGAGCTCTAATTGACTGTGCTACATCAGCTGCTGCTTGAAGTGTACTGGTCACTGTCTGCCTTCCTTCTCCCACTTCAGTTTCCAGGAACAAAGGCTTCCAACCATGAAGAATTGTAGGAACATTAATTAGGTTCCATGCTTCTACCATCCTGTCCTCTGCCTGTTTAATATTATAATTCTTTCTATACCGAATCATTGTAACAAAGTCATGAGTGAGGGGTGGTGTGGTTGAGGTGCTAGCGTGAGGTGGCGAAGCAGGTGGTGGTGGTGGTTGTGGTGTGGCTGAGGTGCTGACACGAGCTGGTTATGGTGGTGGTAATGGTGTCCTGCTCCTACTGTCCTTGTCACTCAGCTGCTCCTCTTTCTGCTGTAGTTCTTCCTGAGAGTCAGTTTATAATCTTAAAGTGGCCGCAAAAGAAATCTTTACATTTTTGGCGCAAATGAAATCTTTACACGGCGTGCAGCGTAAAGATTTTAATTGCTTTCCCGGGCTAACAAAAGTGGGAGGAGCTTGTGACCACGTAACCGCCTCCCACGCACCTCCAGCCACCAAGGCCGCTCGCATCATTGAGCCTCGCGCTCTGATAGAGAGAGGTACAAATATATGTAGCTCCGCCACCCGCCATTCTCCACACGTGCGCCAACTTTGAGAGCCTATATCTCCACCCAAACTGAACAGAATGGGTCGAAACAAGCTCACACTACATGAAAAAGCTCGGGCTTTAACCCAATTAGAACTGGGGATGTCTGTGATACGTGTAGCCTCAGACTTAAAAGTTTCAAGGCAAGCCATTTACAACCTCAAACATGCGGCGGCGCCATTACCACCTGGAGCTATACCGAAGAGGAAAGTGGGATCTGGGGCAGTTAGGAAGACCTCAATAAGGACAGACAACATCCTGAAGCGTGAAGTGATGTCTGATCCTGCTGTAACAGCTTCTACACTGAAGAAAAAGTACCCAGACCTCCTCAAACATGTGGCAATGAGGACCGTACAACATCATCTCCAGAAAGACCTCGGTTTACCGACTCGGCGCGCAGCTAAGAAGCCTCTTCTCACCGAGGCTATGAAGAAGAGGAGGATTAATTTCTGCTAGAAATACCAGCACTGGACATCAGACAACTGGAAGAAGGTGATGTTTAGTGATGAAAGCACCTTTAGGCTGGTGAGGGGTGCCTCGAAGATTATGCGTCGGCCCAAGAATGTGTCGCGGTACTCTCCAAAGTACACCGTCAAGACAGTGAAGCATCCAGATAGTGTGATGGTGTGGGGTGCTTTTAGTGGTTGTGAGGGCAGGGGAGTTCTGCACTTCCTTCCCAAGAATGTCACGATGAAGGGAACTAATTATATCGAGGTGTTACGGGACCATATGCTACCATTTTGGCCAATCCATCAATGTCGTCATTTCATGCATGATGGTGCCCCTGCCCACAAGTCAAAAATAGTCACAAAGTTCCTCAGTGACAATGAAATTGATGTGTTAGAGTGGCCTGGTAACTCCCCCGACTTAAACCCGATCGAAAACGCTTCAAGAGGCTAGACCCAGCAACATCAAGAACCTGCAGGAGGAGCTGAAAAAGTTGTGGGTCAACATGAAGTCTCCTACTTTGCCAACCTCTCCCAATTAATGCCAAAACGACTGCAGATGGTATTGAAAACGAAAGGCAACATGACCAAATACTAAATGTAAGGTAAATACTGTAATAAAAGTCATGTCAGTCATGATTTTAGTTTTTATTCTCTTCCAAATCTCAAGGTGAACACAATGTCAACATTTCTTTTGCGGCGACTGTAATCATCATATAGGCACTTGTGGTATAGCTGCCTCACATTAGCAATGATCTCTTGGTTGCAGTAAGGATGTAGTGTTGAGGCTAAAAAGATCACTTGAACACTGGGATGATGGTCAACTAAGAATTTTGAGCGTCCTGCTGCATTATCCATTAAAAGAATAATTTTGAAGTTGAGATTCATGAGTAGCCAGTAACGACATGTGTCAGGAACAAAATGGGTATCAAACCAATCAGATTATACTGTAGTGGTTACCCAGGCCTTTTGTAGTCGCCTGCAGCATTGCAAGTGAGGAGAAAAGAGATACATTCCTAAGATCATTTTACCCCATGAGCCTGTTTCTCATGCTTGGAGATGAAAGTTGTTTTGTGTGCTTCCAAAAAAGTTCAGTTTCATCACAATTAAAAATTTGACGTTTCGAATAACCACTTGCCACGACAATTTGCATCAAAACTGCTGGGTAGTCCTTAGCTGCTTCTGAGTTTGCTGAACCACTTTCACCTTGGTATGCTGTGTGTTTAATTTTGCAGCGTTTCTTTAAGATAGAAAGCCAACCTATGGAGGCATTAAAAGGTGGGGGATTGGCAACTCCTTTCTTCTTGGCCACAGCTTGGTGGTAAAGTCTTGGAGTCTGTCATGTCTCTGGTCCATTTAAATTGCCTCCCTCTCTGTCTCTTTCGCTCACTCGCTGCTGAAGGTCGTGTTCGGTTTGGCCAACAAGCAATTTCTCTCACTGTGGCTGGCAGTGTTTCACGCTGCCTCCTCAAGACAGTACAGTGCCTTGGGAACCTTCATCTTCTTGACTATCTCACATGTTCTTACACTACTGTTGATCATGTCAATGATTGCTTTCTTTTCATCATATGTGTACTTTCTCTTCGTCCCACCTTTGTGATGCTCACATTTATTGGTCGGCACCCCCTGACCCTCCAGCTCCTCCTATGCTACTCATAGTCTACACTTCACCACACCACAGGTCACAGATAAGTGAGTAGGTTACACCACACCTGTTCTCACGCTCTGATCAAAATAAACCACCCTGCTCACTGACATCATCAAGATGACCGCCCAGAGTGACTATCAACTTAAGCTACCAATCGTTATTATGTTGAAATGTATCGTTAGTGTGTTAAGGTGTTGCATTTCATTACTGTCATTTTTGTGATGAATCGTTAATGTGAAACTCGTTTAAGTGAAGTATGTACAGTGGTCCCTCGGTTAACGAACTCAATTCATTGCTGAGGGTCGTTCGTTAACCGAAACCATTGTTTCAATGGGATATTGGGTAATTGGTTCCAGCTCACAGAAAAGTATACAAAGTATAGCCAAAAATGCATAAAGTCAGAAACACTCCTAAAATTCCCCTAAATTGCCCTTAAATCACTACAGTATATATATATATATATATATATATATATATATATATATATATATATATATATATATATATATATATATATATATATATATATATATATATATATATATATATATATATATATATATATATATATATATATATATATATATATATATATATATGTATGTATGTAATGTATGTATGTATGTATGTATGTATGTATGTATGTATGTATGTATGTATGTGTATGTATATATATATATATATATATATATATATATATATATATATATATATATATATATATATATATATATAGAC